GAAGTTTACCTCTGACTGAATTAACCAAGTATTCAAACACTTCCTTTTTGGATTTCCCAATCCCTAGAGGCAAGTCTAAATACCTTGTACATCTGTGAGGGACAATGCCATTGAGGGTGTTGCATATGAAAGTTTGAAGATATGAAGGTGTATTCCTGCTAAAAAAAATAGCTGACTTCTGCAAATTAACAGCTTGGCCTGTGAACAGTCTATACTTCTCCAAGAGTGTCATAAGCACAACAGCTTGATCATTACCTACCTTGTAGAAGAATAAGGAATCATCTGCAAAGAGAGGATGAGAGAGCATAGGACCATGCTTAGACAATTTGACTCCTTTGAGATGACCAGTGTCAATGGATTAGGTGATCATTGCAGTGAGCAGCTCTGCAATTATTATGAATAGGTAAGGGGACAAGGGGTCCCCTTGCCTAATGCCCCTAGTGGGAGTGACAATACCATTTACTGAACCATTAATTTTGAGGAGAATGAGGATGTTGAGAGACAGATCATGATTAGCTGAACAAAATTCCTGTGAAAGCCCATTTGTAGCATAATCTTTTTCACACTAAGCTATTCAACTCTGCCAAATGCCTTTATAAGATCAAGTTTAAGGGCCATGAAAAAAATCCTTGCTTGAAGAGTGTCTATTAAGAAGTGAAAGGCTTCTTGAGCTATTATTATGTTATCCATGAGTTGCCTTCCTTCCACAAATGCTGACTGGTAAGCACTGATACAGTACCTTAGGTAGTTTTTTAATCTCTGAGCTAGTATTTTAGAAATGATCTTGTAAACCACTGTGTAGAGACTTATTGGTCTAAAATGACCAAGAGTTTTAGGATGTTGACACTTAGGGATTAAAGATAAGACTGTGTGGTTCCAATATCTAAGAATCTGACGTGAAGTGAAAAAACTGAGAATGACTGCCAAGAGATCCTGTTTGATGAGGTTCCAAAAGTGTTGATACAAGGTTGAGATCATCCCCTCTTCTCCTAGAGCCTTGTCTGATGCAAGTGAAATAATGCTGTTTTGACTTCCTCTTTTGATACTGGCTTCAAGAGATCAATGTTCATGTCTGAAGTTATGGACTTAGGAATTAGATGAAGGATTGAGTCTCCATTCCAGTTAGTTTTTGAGGAGAAAAGATTGGAACAAAACTCAGATATGTGATTCTCAATAGCTAATTGAGATGTCAAGACTCTGCCTTGGGGAGTGAGAAGTCTGGTTATGGCATTGCGTCTTCTTCTCTGGAGAGTAAAGGCATGAAAGAATCTTGTGTTTGCATCTCCTTCTTTGAGCCATTTGAATCTAGACTTGTTTTGCCAATAGAGCTCTTCTTGAAGGTGAGCTTGGTTCAAAACTCTTCTAGTTGATTCCCAAATCTCCAGTTATCACCTGATTTATCTTGGTTGAGGATTTCCATCTTCTGGGTCAGTTCTGCTATAAGTGCTTGGTTTTGAGACTGAAATGAGGAGATCCAGATAAGAAGAGCAGTTCTTGTTTTCTTGATCTCTTCATTTAACTAGAAAAAAAGGGTTCATGTGACAGGTGAGAGCCAAGCCTCTTTGACTGTTTCTTCAAAGTCATCCTTTCCAATCCACCTTTTATCAAAGTGAAATCTTGACTGTTTCCTCTCTGCAGGCAGCCCCATATCCAAGAGTAAAGCTAAATGATCAGAGAAACTTCTTAGCTTGTTTATTACTTTAGCATTTGGGAACACTTGCAGCCAGTCTAAAGCACCAAATCCTCTATCCAATTGCTCTTCTACTAGCTCAGAATCTGTCCTGTTGTTACACTAGGTAAAAGGGTAGCCCTCCATCCTTAACTCTTCCATTTCCATGTCTGTAATGAAGGAGATAAATGGTTGGTAACTTGTTGTACTTCTTGGAATGCCACCTGCCTTTTCTGAATCTGCACAGATATCATTCCAATCACCAATTGAGGAATAAGAGAGGGAAGAGAAAAATGAACTGCAATAAAAAAGTCTTTACATATGATTTGATGAATAACAATTTGAGAATCCCAAAATAGTGCTAAGCCCCCACTGAGACCTATGGGGTTAACAATAGCTACTCTATCTGTATAACCTAACTTGCTACTGATAGATTTTACAAATGATTTTTGTTTTTTTGTCTCAGAAAAGAAAAACAGATATGGATGGTGAGCTTTGATTAGCTCTCGCATTTGGAAAATTGTAGAGGGCCCATCCAACCCTCTACGATTCCACACCACAGCTAGCATTGGTCAAGTTGGTGCCATTCAAGGTTGACAACCTCCACCTTATCAGATTGTTGCTTGCTCTTCTTGTTTGCTGACTGGAGCAATTTGCTGTCTTGGTGTGAAGGAGATTTGGGTACTTCAGGTTCTCTTCTCTTTTAGTTCCTGGTTCTGAGGATTGAGCTTCTATGATGATTAGTTCTCTGAGTAGCCTTCCATCCTTGCTTCTGTCTCTCCTCCAAGTTCTGTTCATTTTGATGTGATTTGAGGCCAGAGAGTCATGCAGATTTTTGAATATTGATGAGGTAGTTGGTGCTGAAAGGTCCACTTCCATTTCTTTGTGGGATTCAATGACTTGAGTATTTTCTTCAGGCAAACTTTCATAAGGAGAGGGTATGTGAGTGGCTGAGGCCAGAGAATCTTGATCTCATTCCTCTCAGCAAGCATTTTCTTAAATTTCAATATATTTCAATTTAGTATGTGAGACCAAAATTTAATAAAAGTTCAATACATACACATTAATGATACATAAAATGCACAATATTGCGTGACAACATACACAAAAAATTCTGTCATATTTTTACGAAATCATAGAATTTCCACCACCTACACATTTAAAAGTTTACAAATTCACCAAAATTCCACTTTGCTTAGTTTTGTTTAGTGGTTAGTTCGGTCGAACCAAGCGCCTAAATGTCAAAATTCAAATAACCGAGTCAAACTTTATGAAAAATCTAACCGACTGAACATTTTTTCCAAAAGAAACTAAAATCAAACATAAATAATCGATTTATTCAGACTATCTGATTTAACAAAAAATAATCAAAATAAATTATTATTATTTATTATAATATATTTAGTATTTTAATATTTTAGTTACTATTTTATATATTTCTATAAGTTATAAAAAATAACATTTCGCACATTAGTAACTAATAATTTAAAAGTAAAAATTGATAACCGAACAAAAAATTTATTCCGGTCACTTTCTGGAGTTTTTTTTCGAATTTTGTCGAAATTTACACACCCATATCTGCGCTACAAAATGCACATTAACGACAAATTAAAAGCACATTTTATTACCTATGTCAAATGCACAATATTATCCCGTAAAAAAAAAAATGCACAATATTACTTATGTATATGCAAAATATTACCTCGGAATGCACTATAACACAACATAGTGCAATCTCAAATTCACTAATATGTAGTTTCTAACACCATTGTGCAGTCAGCAGACTGAACATTTTTAATTAGATATACATACAATAAATTTTGCATTCAGTTTTTAATAAATTAAAGTTTGTCTAAAATTTAATGCATGTGAAAATGCACAATAGAGTAACAGTATACTTTTGATTTTTTACGGTGGTCATTCCGCAAAATACATTGTTACGTTAATGTGAATTCTCTAAATTATTAATGTGCATTAAGTCTATCACTATTGTGCATCTTGCATCACATGTACTTTGTAATATGAATATCCGTACACATATTGTGCATTTTTACTTATCATTAATATGAATTTATTAAATTTTTGTAGAAATTATCTATTTGCCACATGAATTAAATTGAAATATACTTAAATTTACTGAAATTGAAAATTGGTCCTTGAAAATGATCTAATTTTTAGAGAAATAACCCTAAGCACACAAGTTGCAGGCCCACTCAGGCAGCCCGTCTTTGACTCGTCAAGGCCCTAACCAACTCTGGATCAGCTCAGGTAGGACATCTCCACCCTCCCCTTGATCGTCGTCACGTGGAAGGTCAGAGGCGAGACGTCGATCCATGTGTGTGGGTCTGCGAAATCCCAAAATCTTAACTGAAAGATTCCCGTCTCCCAATTCGCATGTAACGGAAGATGTCAGGTGGCGGTGGGCTAACAACAGTAACGGATGGTGTCTGGTGGCAGGTCATGGAAGATGACTGTGGGAGAAGGATTTTGCCCACGAGGTCCTTCATGGCCAATTTCACAGTGACCAGAATTTTGCGAGCCGGGGTCGACTACGCAAGTGTTCCCTAACGGTGGTGACGGCGGCGGTGAGCTACGAGATGGTTGTGTCCATTGGCGGCGCACCGGTTGGAGGTCGGAGGCGAGGCGTCGATCCATGTATGTGAATGTGTATGGATATGTGCATGTGTGTGTGTTGTGTGCACGTGTGTGAGATATGGTGTGTGGTGGTGGTTACTGATGGGATAGGGGCAGTCTATGACCCACGTGGCAGGGAGATATTGGGTGTGGGTGAGTGAGTAGTTGGTGTGAGCCCCACGGCTTAATAAGAAAAATATCCAAAATATCCTTAATTAGAATAAAATGTTGTCTTATTTTTTATGCTGTTAGATCATCAAATTTTGTGGCTGAGATATATTTTTATTTCTTTCATTGAGCATATTTCTTATCGGAACTCATTCTTATATACATATGCGTGTGTACAACACGATATGATGTAACTGTATCAAGGACGAGGTAGCTTATAATAATCTTTTACCAAACACATATCAAATTACATCTTTAANAGCCAAAAATTTCATCACCCAAAACCCAATTCTTCATTTGGCATAGTAAAAAAAAAATACATTATACTAAATCTGTTAAAACAGTTTTGCAAACTGCAAAAATAACTCAAATATTCATAATACATTTCCCTCCCTATTATCATATTCCTTGAAAAGAATCATGAAACACAATTACAATTTTACAACCCAATAATCATCATTTAACGCTCAAATATTCTTGATATGCAATAATAACAAAATTATTTATTTATCCATCACATTTTGTTAGAATGGCCGAAAACGGGTCCCCTCGACGTATCAGGTGGCCGGCCGACGACTACAACCAGCTAGCCACCTTAGAAGTCGACCAAGAGCGGCCAAGGACCCCTGACTCTGAATTCCGACAATTGTACAACCAAATACATTCGACATGCCACCTCATCAACATCGACTGGGACCGCATATGCGTCCTCGGCTTAGCCACCATCTCCGTCATGCTCATCGTCATCACCTTCTTTCCATTCTTGCAAACCCAACTCGTCCTCGACCAAAATCTACACCACCAATTCTCCCTAAAATCCCTAACCATCTCCGAGTTCAAAGCCGAGAGTGATCGTCTCACAGGCAGGAGCGATTCTACATATATTAATAGGGGGGCAATTGTCCGCCCTCAAATTTTTATTTTGTTACTATTAATTATTAAAAAAATTTAATTTGCCCATCTCTAAAATTTATTTTTGCACCCTCAGCTCCAGATTTTTTGTTTTAAAAAAGTCACTTGGTAGGCCAACTTGTTTATGACATGTCTTTTGCCCTCTCTCAACTAATTTTCTGGTTTCGCTACTGCTCACAGGGAAATGCAACGTGGCCTTCAATATCAGCAACCCAACCCAGAAAAGTGTGTACCACGAGCATTCCGTACTTTCAATCTTCTTGGATCACGAGCTACTTTGGGTCACGAGGACGCTCGACTTTTTCATTGACATTGGGGACAATATAGCTTTTAATGTGAGCATGAATAAGATTACTGTTTCTGTTCCGGATTCTTTTGTCCCAACCGCGTTTTTAGAGAGTCGGGCGTTGAATAAGTCCCTCCATTTCAAGTTGAAGTACGATGGGATGATGAGGGAAGGTATGGCCGCTTGGGAGGAGGAGAGGGCGCATTTGTATGTCATTTGTGGCTGGATTCAAGTTGCATTTGTTGATAATACCACGCTTAAGGGGGGACCGGCAAATTGTTCTATAGAAAATTAATCGTGTTTGTTCGTTTTTGTGTTAGCAAGTGAGTTTTGTTTTTTCTTGTGGTTGGTTGTTGGTGTAAATGAGAATGAAGTTTGATTATTGTGTTGTTGGTTTTAGAATTTTGTAAAATTAGGGTCATGTTGGTTGCGTGTAGTTTGCTGCACATTGTATGAATTCATTTTTAGTGATTTAGGGGGGGTTTTTCTCTTCGCTTGATTACAATTGAGGATTGGCTACGTGATGTACATGGCAAGTGATGTGGCTTTCTTGGTTCTTGAACACTTTTATGATTTTGGTTTATTAAGTTGTCTCAACTTTAATTATAGTACGCCAAATTGGTACTTTTATCAATTTTGGTCCATTCATTACAATAAATTTTATTTTCTTAGAATTTTCTTTGCCAGGAACTATTATTATAATTTATTAAATAACAGTGAAAAAAAAAACTATTACCAAAATACTTTTTATATCATTTACTTTAGTGCAAAAAACTCTCAATTTGGTAAACAACAATGACGTATTTTATTATTCTTGAAATATTCGTTAGATTACGCAATTCTCGTTAGAAAGATTTTTTCGAGAAAATAGAGTATAATAAGATGTTTCATTGAATAATATTTTAGTTTATTTAGACAAGGACAATTTGAATTGAGTAATATGACATAATTTAAGTATTAGTTCACTATATTGGTCTCTTTCCCGTAAAGGTCCAATTTTTTTTACGGACATCAAATTAGTACATTAATTGGAAAATTCCTCAAATAAGGTTACACTAAACATTAATGGTAAGATAAAATTTGTTGTTTTATTTTTGGACTAGTTCGAACACCGTTCAATGTTCGTTTCATGTGGGTGGCCCAACGTTAGATTCCGTAAACTTTTAGTCCAATCATATAGACTACGTGCCTGCTCAAATTTTCATCCAAAATAATTTTGGTTATTTTCTACTGGTTTAATTCTGACGCCATTTAAGATTCATTTAACTGGGTGACCCACCATTGGATTCTTCATATCGAACCATTGGTACCTACCAAATTTAATCTCAAATTGAGTTCCTTATCTAGGGGCCATTTGTCGCCTTTTTAACGTAGATTTTAGTCGGGCGACTCACTGTTGGATTAGTCTCATCAAGACGGTCGTAACTACAAATTTCTATCTCAATTTTCGTGTGAAATAATTCGAGTTTTCTTTTTATGGCCTAATTATGGGGTCGTCTCACGTCAATTTCAAGTATGTGATCCATCATTGAATCTTTTGGTCGAGACGGCCATATACCCAAACTTCTATACCAACTGGAGTTGGTTTGCTTAGTAAATTATATAACGATAGTCAAGACTGCCAATAATTTGCAAGCATTAGATTATGCAATCCGTCAATCTTCCAAATAAATAACATGGACAAAGGAATGTCGAAGCCCGATCAAAACAATTTTGAATGTTAGAATAAAGTTGTCATGAATAATTACAATCTCATTGGTTTATTGTACTCGAACATATGTGTAATTACATTAGAGTACATACTTTCATGTAATGTGTGATGATTTCAAAAATTAATTTAACTCATCGGGAGAAATACACGTAACCAAGACTTTGGAAAGTCAACTTTTATTTGGAGATAGAATTTGTTCGATGCTCCCATGGGGTAGGTACTGATTTATTTATATAGAGATAGTAATGTAACAGTTTATACAACAATATATATATATATATATATATATATATATGTCAACAATTTTATTGAAACGGTTGGTTATTTCACAGAGATATACATGGACTGTTTGTAGAAATACCTTATAAAGATCATACAATTGCGAAGTTTTACTTTATGTTTAGCTAGAATATTTCAAAGTGTTTGAATAAAGTATACATTTTACCTGTGAATGAGAAGAACTTTGCAATACTATTGATGTATTGGGCTCCAACAGGGTATGAATGTTTCTTGTGAGAACTTCAAAACCAAAATAAAAGAAAATCACTCTTGAATCATGTAACATAAATAAATATAGAATTAATGCATTTATAATATACATTAGATCCTCATTTAGTTAATAGTATAATGCTCGTGTATCACACTAGTGTTGAATTAAGAAGCAAGTATAAAAAATATTAAAGCTTTTATTTTTTTAAACTAAAACAATTTGTGTTTTAATTAAATTATCAAACTATATATTTTAATTATAACAGTTAAACACACGTATATAATTTTAGAATCTAGATGTCAAACTATATTTTTTCTTTTAACTTTATATTTAATTTTAGAATTTAAATAATTAATTTTATATTTAGTCTGAATATTAAATAGAAAGATTGAGAAATAAATTAATATGATTGATTTAAATGAAGATATTTAGTCTGAATATCAATTCAGACTTAAGTTCCTCCACCTGTTTATATAGTCGATGACTGGCTCCTCTTTCCATTGTCAAGATATAGTGAGCTCGATCATGCTGACTGTGCGTCTTTTGCTGTAAAAGCGAATACGAAATTCATATTTCATTTTCTCCCAATTCCAAATCGGTGTACTAGTTGAATACGACCCCTTTGAGTGAGGGAACAAAATTGCTTGATGAGACAATCTCCATGGGTTCGCACATCATTGCATGTCTCAATAAAGTGGGCTATATGTTGCTTCGGGTAGCCCTTGCCATCAAACTGCTGGAACTTGGGAGGCTGATATCCAACATGCATCCTCAAGTTATCGATCTTCGGCGTATATGGTTTGACGTAGTAGTGGGATGACTTGGAACCACCATCAAACTTATCTTTTAAGTCCTCATGATGAAATCCTTGAGTTGATCAATGGGGATCATTCCCTCAGACGAATGTTTGGAATGTTTGAGTCTTTCCTTTTCGTCAAATTGTTCTTGTTTGGACGTTCAGCCTCATTACGGTTTTCTGTTTGTTTGCCCGTCATGCAGTTTGTTTCAGCATTGTCAACCTTGTTCATTAGCTCTGAGATATGTGAGTCTTGCTCTTCGACCTTCTTCGCAAGCCCTTCAATAACCTTCGTTAAGCTTGTGATGTGCTTTACAAGAGTTGAAGCATTGGTTGTCATAACTGGAGTGATGCCTTGAATTTGATGAAGAGCTTGATGTTGAACGAGGAGTTGAGGAATCAGAGTCGTCTTCGTCACATTCGTGGGTAAGATGCAGCTTATCACTTCTGATCACCTCGTGCAAAGGAGTCGTCTCCGAAGATGTTTGCAGCTGTTTGACCATGCTTCTTGTAACGACACTGAGGGTGGAGCTTGAGGAACTTGTTGTAGGAACCTTAACTACGACAATCTTGCGACTAGTCATGATGATTTGATGAATTTTGGAGAAGAGATGAGAGGTAGAGATGTCCCACTGGGCGTGCCAGAAATTTGTAGTAACAAATTTCGTGTATTGAATTTATAAAAACGAAATATATTCTACAATTTGATTTCTCGAATCAAATGGATTTTGTGGATTAGAATCTCTATTTTCTCATCTGATTCTTCTAAAAATGATTTTTAAGTCTTGGAGCGAAATATTCGGCTTGATCTTCTATTTAACTTGATTTAACGTTAATCTGAGAGTCAACGCCGTGATTTCGGATCAAACGCCTTCATATCCCAAGAACGTGAAAAACACGAGTCCTTGGTTTTCGCCACAAAGTTGATCTTGGATCTTCTTTACACTGATTTTAAGTTTACTAACGCAATTCGAAGGCTTGACAACTTGTTTCCGGGTTAAATGTCAGTCTTGAAGATGAACGTGCTTGAATATTGCTTTGAATCTTCAAGAACACTTCAATCTCGTCTGGAGAATTCTCTAGAGCTCTTGAACATAAATATGAGTTGTGTGTGTGTGTGTTTTTTTTCATAAATATTAGTTGTGAGCGTGTGTGTGTGTGTGTGTGTTTTTTTGCTTTAAGAAGAGTCTTTATTTATAGGTGTAGGAGAACCCTACCAATTTAAGAATCGTATGACGCGATTTGATTGATCCATGATGATTCACATAAGATCTTATCGATCTATTTAAATCTCTCAGGATCTTCTTGAAGACATATGATTTATTTACCAAGAAATAAGATTTGACACTTGGCATGATTTGATTGGCCGAAAATTAAAATATCAAAATATCAATTAATTAAATATTTAAATTCAATAATTAAATATGTGAAATATTTAAAATATAAATAAAAATTTGACTTGATTTTTAATACATTAATTTACACGTGGCGCCATTTGGTTGACCACAATTTTTTTGTATCTACAGAGTATTTACAAAGTATATTTACATTTTAAAATTAATGACGAGATACGATTTACATTTTGAGGTATAAAAATGATATTGAATTAATTTTTATTATTTTACTAATATTTTATATAAATAATAGTTATGTGTAATTTTTATAATTTGTAAATACTTTTTTTTTTCGGTTCTACAATCATTATTTGTTTCGGAGGTAAGTGCAGTTAAGTGGTCCGGTTCTAGAAAGTTAGAAACATTGACGGGACTGTACTTGAGTAGGTCGTGTGTGAACTGCATTTTCCCATGACCATTCTGTTATTTTTACCACACAAAAGCTACACAATCCAATTAAATAGTAGCTAATAACTACACATTAATTACAAATAAATTTGGTATCCCTGCCAACCAAAACGACGTCATTTTCTTCGTCTTCAAGGTCCTAACGCCGACGTTTTCCACTTTTCATAAACTCATCTCACCCGCACCTGATCTGTCATCTGTTGCAATCTAATATAATTAATTACACATTCAATATCTATTTCCACATTCGCTTCTCTGGATCAAAGCAATTTGCTTTCGTTTTTTTCGATGTATACATCAGTGAAATTTTTGTTAGTTCATCTCGCAGATGAACTACACGTTATTTTTTCGAGGAAAAGAATAACTGTTTAATGATTGAAAAACGAGGTGTTGATTTGAAGCTGTTTCCTCTCAACATCTCAAGAAACCAGAAATTTTATCCAGCTTTCTTGTTTTAACATCTCCTTTGTGGGTTCCCTCCTTGAAATGGGTTCCAATAAGCGAGCCAAGTTCGACTCCCTTATCTCACTCAGTAGACTCCGATCGATTCAAGTGATGACGGTATTGCTGTTTCTGTATTTAATTTTCATCACTTTTGAAATTCCGATGGTTTTGAAAGCTGGGTTAGGGTTGGAATCCAGTGACGTGAGCCCCAGCTTACCCCTCATCTCACACCCTATGTTCGGAGCAAAAAATGACAATCAGTTGTCCAGAAAGGAGAAAGAGAGACCCGTTTTTCGGGCCCAGGAGCGGAAAATGGGGGAATTCAAGAAGATTTCGGGCCTCATTTTCGACGAGGATGCGTTTAACAGCATAGGCAAAGATGAATTTTCCGAGCTGCACAAGATAGTTAGGGATGCATTCGCATTGGGCAAGAAAGTGTTAGATGATTTAAAGTCGGGTAAAATGATGCCAAGTGAGGTGGAAAATCGGACTGCGAAGAAGGTGGACGAGCCCTGCCCTCATTCGCTGGTGTTAACTGGTCATGAATTCGTGAAAAAGGGGAAAATGATGGTGATTCCATGTGGGCTTTCATTGGGCTCTCACATCACTGTGGTTGGGCGGCCCAGGTGGGCCCACATGGACAGATTGTCCAAGATAGCCTTAGGGAAGGAAGGTGATAAAATGATGGTTTCACAGTTTATGATGGAGTTGCAGGGCCTGCGGGCCGTGGATGGGGAGGATCCTCCCAGGATACTGCATTTTAATCCGAGGTTGAAGGGGGATTGGAGTGGAAAGCCCGTGATTGAGCAGAATACTTGTTATAGAATGCAGTGGGGGTCTGCCCAGCGGTGTGAGGGGTGGAAATCAAGGGCTGACGAGGAAACTGGTGAGCCCCCTATTGGATTTTGTGTTTGAGGTTAACTGTGTGTTATATGTTAGATGTTAATATGTTTTCTGTTGTGTGTGCTGTTTGGAATGGTGTTGTGGATCTTGGTTGGTGGATTGAATGTAGAATGTGTAATGCTGTTCAATTATCCAAATAGTGAAATCTCGAGTTGAGATTTTGGAGATTCTTTTACTTTACAATCGATATTTTGATTTGCAAGTTTGTTAAGGTGTCACATGTTGGGTTTGGGCTTTTTAGTTGATGAATTGCTTTTCATTATCTCAAATTATTTTTTCTTTAGTTTCAATGTAAAAGTTGTGTTATCAGCTGTCAACCTTTCACTATTGTACTTGTGCAAACTATTATTGTTTATTATTCTTTAAAAAGTGTTTGTTCTGGAGATAACATGTTTTCCTTAATGTGAAGTTGATGGACAGGTGAAATGTGAGAAATGGATACGTGATGATGATGACGGGTCTGAGGAATCGAAAGCTGTTTGGTGGTTGAAAAGGCTGATTGGCAGGACAAAGAAAGTTAGTGTTGATTGGCCCTTTCCTTTTGCAGAGAACAAGTTGTTTGTGCTTACACTTATTGCTGGATTGGAAGGCTATCACATCAATGTAGATGGGAGGCATATTTCATCCTTTCCTTATCGTCCTGTGAGTACTTTTTTAGTATTCAGGTGTTTGCAATTACAAGCCTT